TTCTGTTTTCATCTAAGCCTTGGCATTTGTGAGGGACAGTTGACCTATTCCCAGGAGACTTTTCTAAACTAGTGACTTCTTTTCAGACATCCAAAAGGAAACTTTCTGGAATAAAGACAACCCCCTCTCCCACACACACACCTGTATATGCTGCTCCATCTTGTTTTTTTCAGATTGTAACCACAATTCAGAATTCCTGTCTGCTTCCATTGAAATTAAGAATAATTGTCAACGTAACTAAACAGGCTGTGAGACTTTGTCTTGTGGGAGGAATATTGTTTTTGAGGCTATTGTCTCTGTCATTGAAAATGGGTTTTTAGTAGAAGTTTTTTTTTTGTATATTGTTAGAACGAGATGATGGGGGAAGATGCATTGTGAAGGAAATATTTCTACATCTGCATGAGATTCAGATAAACTTTTCCACATAAACTTAACTTGCCTGCATGTGCTGCAGATGATAGATAAACTTAAATCTAGGATAGTGGCTAGCTTCACAGAAATTGCTTCTGAGAAGGCTTTGACTTGAGAATTGAGACGGTCTGGAGATGGGTAAAGGACCCCCTTCGAGCCCTGGCTGGGAGAGGGGAGTGGGTGTTCCACTTCAGCAGGCTGGTTTCTCTCCCTGCTCTTGCCTTCTGTACAGAGAGGCAATAAATAAGTAGTCAGTCAGTTGCTATGCTGAATGCCCCCTCGGGGTCCTCCAGCAGACAGGAGTTGGGTCTTATACCTGCTAGCACTGAATCAGAATGAGTCATTTGAAACTTGAGTGCTGGAACAAAGTACTTGCAAACTGCCTTATGAGACACTGCCTCCATGTAGGTGGGATATATCTCTCAGAGCAGTCACATTTTTTTTTTTCCTCTCTTCCTTTCTCCTTCCAACAGGCAGGAATTTTGACACTCTCAAGAGACCAGCTCTGCCCCCTTGGTTCAGCTGACCCTACAATGTGGACCCTGCCTCTCCAGGTCAGGACTGGAGTTTTAAAATAAGATGGATGATGTGACGTTACTTGATCTTCTGGCGTGCCCTGTGTGCTTTGAAAAGCTCGATGTCACGGCCAAAGTCCTCCCTTGCCAGCACACCTTCTGCAAACCATGTCTCCAGAGGATTTTCAAGGCCCACAAGGAACTAAGGTGCCCCGAATGCAGGACCTTGGTGTTTTGCAGCATCGAGGCGCTGCCGGCCAACCTGCTGCTCGTGCGTCTTCTGGATGGTGTGCGCTCGGGCCAGAGCACGGGGAGAGGGGGCTCCTTTCGCAGGCCCGGTGTGCTGGCCTCACAGGACAGCAGGAAAAGCAGGACTAACCTCAGAAGTCTGCAGTCCAGCCCTTTCCGGCTCGTGCCTAATATCAGAATCCACATGGATGGGGTAAGAAAGATCTTATTTGTTCATATCATGCCCACTCGGAGGTTGGATTTGCGTGTGCCAGCAGTTAGATTATCTAGTTATGTTTCAAAGAGGTGCTGCCAGGGATTCCCCAGATATAAGTTTCTGTGGGAAGCAATCATTTAACTGAAATTTGGTGGATTCCTGAGCCTATCTAACCATTCTTAGAATTGTTAAATCTTTTGCAGTTCTTCCTGCTTCTTATCCGAAAGGTAGTAGGACAAGGAAAACCTTCTTGATTATATTTTTGGTCTTTCGCTTCTGCTCTTCTGAGGCCGACCAATGCATGGAAAATGCACGAAGGATGGGGAACAGAGAGAAAACAAACCCAACTGCTTGTTGCTTTGGGGATCTCTGAGAAGTTTCCAATAGTCAGGTTTTGTTTGAATTTCACCAAAATCCATTTTTCCACCCCCACCCCCAGTCATAAAGTGCTATTATGACAATGTTCATTCATAATTCATTCAAAGCTATCAAGACACTTGACGCCCGAATAGCATGCTGGAGGGAAGCGTGTATGTGGGTGGAGTGATTGATAGGAAAGCCTGGGCTCTGCAGTACAGCAGATGTGTACAGGAGCCCCGCAGATGTGTCTTACTTTACAAAATAAATAAAACACACATAAAATGCACATCAGCGGCTGCAATGAAACAAACGGCCCAGTAGAACCACATGGTCTATCACCCAGTGATGCTTTGGGTGTTTGGACAGTGTGATCACTCTGTCCAGCCGTGCAGGCGCATCCTCAGGATTTTGTCCAACCTGGCCGTGAGCCTTATTGAGGGAAGCTGAGTAAGGGCACGTCTCAAAAGGAGGACGTGGTCCTCGTGAGGCCAGCAGGATTATTGCACTGTCACCCCAGGAGTCGGCGTGCCAAAGTGGACATAGTGAACTGTGGCCTGGGTCCTTGGCATACTTAGAAAGTCAAAGCTGCATTCTGTGAATTCTTACTTAAGCGAGCTTTGATACTGGCAGCTGAGTCCCAGGACTCCAGGCTCTGAAGAGTAACAGTGGTGGGAGGCCTTCCGGATTCCTTCCCAATGAGGGAGAATGGGCTTGTGATATGCATTCAGGATAGCTTTCTAAAATATTCACCCCATCTTCGGTTCACTGCACCTTTAGGCCGCCCATGCAGTAGGGGAGTGTGGAAACATTCAGAAATGAGAGCGAGAAGAAGTGGGGCATTGGTGCGATTTCTTCACTGCAAACTTTTTATTGCCATTGTGCTTAGATGTGTGAACACATTCCAGAAAAGGGCTTGGCATTCTTCTTGAAGGCTCCCTATTAGCCCTAGGTCTAGCCATCAGTCAGAATCCACAGGCTTGGAAAAGGCAGGATGGGGGTGGGGTAGCAAACTTCTCTCACACATGCCTTGTTTATAGAGAATGGGCTCTATCTCCAGCCAGCAAATCTCCCTTTGAATTCCTAAGACCCAGCAACCTCTCCCCTCCCCCACCTGCAGAGTCTGACTTGCCTCCTGATAGAGTATCATTACTCACTAAGAAAATGTTGCCAGACTGGGAGGAGGCAAGTCCCTTACTGCCTTTGGGTATTTTTGTTCATGTTTTCATCTTTCTCGATGTGGCTATGTTGCTAAGGAAAAGAAGCAACTAATGGATCCACAGCTACCAAGTTTTTGAACCCTAGGCTATTCCAGGTCCCTCTTGGACGGGGCGTGGGGATGAGAGCTGGTCATACGTAAGAGACAGCCGTTAGGATACTGCATGTCCCTGGAACTCTTTCGCAGGGACTTGTAACATCAGACCAAGGCGCCAGTGATGGCGTTGCGCCCATCCCCCAAACCTCACTGGACCAAGTCTTGTCCATGAGGCTGAAACACAGAACCAAGTCCCTTTGCACTCCTGCTTTCAGGCAGGACCTGGTCTAGTAAAGATACCCTGCAAGGGAACAGAGCTGGCAGCCACCCCCAACCACCCCTGTTTCCTTCATTTCCTGAGCCTGCCTTTCTTAAAGGGCCTCATCTCATCCCTTTTGCCTCTCTCAATGGGGAAATGAACAAGCCCGTTCCTGGATGTAAATATGGCTGTCATTCTGCAACCTGCTCTCCTCCCCCCAGTATAGCTATCTTTCCTGTAAGCGTGAAAGCAATTGTGCATCCCTCAATTCAGAGAACTGAGGATTGTCTGGGATGCCGCACTCTGTTCTGAGTCAGAGGAGTGGACTTGTATCCTCGGTCAAATCTTCACCTCTCGTCCTCAGTTTACCCAGTCCAGTCAACAGTTAATAATACTCGCTACCCACCTTCCTCTGGGATAGTGTGAAAATTATCTTCACAATATACACATGTCACTTTAGAAAACATATGCCATGTAATGCATATGCATTACATAAAATGCAAAGCATCATCATTATCATTAATTTGAACTTGCTGTATGACTTTGGGCATGCCACTTAAGTTTGCTGGGTCTCAATTTAAATTTATGCAAAATGGGAAAATGTATTGTAAAAACAGGCATTGTGAGGCTTAACTAATTAGTGTTTGCAAAGCACTTTGAGATCTTTAGATGAAAGGCTTTTGGAAGATCATGATCGCAGTAAACATTATTATTGACTGTTTATTGTGCCCTGCTGTGCATGAGGCATTCTACAAAACATGGGAGAGTGTAATAGGTGTTGTTGAGTCTATGATGAGTCCAGGTCAGGAAAATGCTAAGTATAAAGTACTCCCCAGAGAAGGCATAAATAACCTGTTGTCACAGGGTACCATTTTGTAAAACACCTCTTCCAGAGGACTTGATATTAACCTAGCACCCTGAAAGTCCATGAGCTCTTTAAGTCCAAAGTCTGTTCTGCTCACCTAGGCTCCTCTAATGAACAAGCTTGTTGAGATCTTTTTGTTGGCTCAAAAAGGCCTGGTGCTTCCTGTGCCAGCCAGTATGCCAGGGTGGGACCAGTAATCACACTTCATGGTACCAGCCCCAGAGAGAAAAAAAATAGCCCATTGTGCCTACCCATCTAAAACCCTCCCAAGCCTATTGTGTAAAAAGAAAACTTGAGAAATGGCTGTAGGTTTCTACAGCATGCAATTATGTCAAACCAGCAGGTAAGATCAACAGACTCCTGGAGGGCTCTGGACTCTGTAAATCTCACTGGTTCTTCTTCTTTCCCAGACTGCAGTCAGGCCAAAGGAACTTTGCAAGCCTTTGAAATTATGGCCTCCTGAATAGCTGATTTCTCTTCCTCCTTATTCTGTTACCCTTTAATAATATTTCTGAATTAAGATGGGCAGTAAAGCAATAAAGCTAAGTATTTGCAAACTTAGGTTTGAAAGCTATCAGAATTCAAATGTTCTGCCCCTCAATAGTTGTGTTATTTGGGTGAGTCAGTTAAACTTCAGGACATCCAATTCCCCATCTGTAAATTGGAGGTAATAGTAATACCTACTTGAGAGGGTTGCTGTGAGAAATAAATGAGATGATTCATGTCAATTAGCTCTTAGCACAGTGACTGGTTTAGATTAAGTACTCAATAAATATTAGTTGTTATTGTTATTGAAGTGACTCAACACTTTCCAATCTAAATTACACGCCCTCTTTCACTCCTTTAATCATTAATTGAGGTGTCCTCCAGAGATGGTCCTTGGTACCCTGATTTCTGGCTTGTTTTGTTTGTCTCCAAATGATCCATGGCCATGATTCACATAAGTTGATTCTAGGAGGAAATTGGCGAGCCACCTTCACTTTCCCAAATAGCAAGCTCAAAAGAGTGAAATATGGAGGGCAAGAACCTGGTCACCAATTCCTCATTAACTTCTATCTTTCCTTTCCCCTGCCTCTCACTATCCCCAACACAAACGTGGCCACCCTGGGTCTTGCCGGGCTGGACTTTCTCCCTTCTTCGCGAAGCATCGGGCCAACCACATACATTCCTGTCTCACATGCCCTATCTCAGCAAAGACACACCTGCCACCTCCAGCACACAGACCACGTAGCTGTGTCCTAGAAACTTTTTCAGCTGGTGTTGCAAGCAACCGAGGAGGAAAATGAGGTCAGAACGCACATAGGGGAACTTGAGACTGGGTAGAAACCAGACGGCATCCGAGCCCCATTTCTGGGTCTCAGCTGCTGTGTCCTGCAGCAGAGCTATGACACAGACGTTGTTTTTTGCTAAATTTGCAAGAGAACTAAAACCATCCTAGGCCCCTGGAAACAGCAGGCAGGTGCCACCTGGGTCAGCTAGGACCACATGAGGCAGGTGGAAGAAGGCATAAAGGCAGGAGCTGGGATCAAGAATCAGGAGATCCAGATGGTTCTCCAGTTTCACACACATTTGCAAACCTTTTAAATAACCACATGGCCCCAAACTGGCTCTGCCCCTAACCTCTCTCATTATGCCTCCTTTTTAGTGACAGTCCCCTTTCTTTTATTGAGTACTGTAGTGTTTAAGGATTGTGGTCAGCTTGAGCTGGGTTTGTACTGGGATTCAATTATTTGATAGCTGTGAGGCCTTAGGCAAGTCATTTAACCTCTCTGACCTTCAGTTTCCATATTTGTATAATGGAGATGGCAATGGTATACATATATCATAAGGCTGTTGTAAAATTAAAATGAGACAATGTGTGTAAAAAGCTTAGTACAAGCGCCTGGTACATAACAGATGCTAATAAATGTTAGCAACAGCAAATAACCAAACAATAACATTAGAAGAGAAAGACTGCTGCCATTAGATTTGGAGTTCTTTCCATCTACACATAATCATGCAGAGACCTCCGTTAAAAAGTAAGCAAAGGGGCTAGCAAAAGGAAAGGGAGTTTTTGAAAAGGCAAAATTGTAGTGATGGAAATGGTGGTTTTCAGTGGTTCCTAAGAGTTATGGATTGGGAGAAGATGTGACTATAAAGGAATAACTTGAGGGAGATTTATGGGGTTAATGGAACTGTTCTGTATCCTGATTGTGGTGGCAGTTAAATGACTCTAAATATGTGTTAAAATTCATAGGAATATAAACCAAGAGAAAAATATT